GTGACGTTGATAGAAAGAATGCTGGAAAAGCATCACAAGCAAGGGCAGCAACCTCTTCAAGACCCTCCATGCTGTGATGATGTCACACCACATTGCCTGTCTAGATGACATTTCCCCAAAAGCATACCACCAACGTCAGGGAAACAGAATTGGCTGGTTGCTGTATCATTTGCTGCTCACACAATGACAAGGATGGCAAGAAGATTCAGAGAGAAATGCAGTACATTTTTGTGGAATGTGATGTTCCACTTTGTGTTGTTCTATGGTTTGAAATTTACCACACAGAAAAACTATTAAATACTGATCTTTACATATACTTTTGTTACATTAGGATTAGAGACAAGTTCTGTTTGGAAACAACTCCAAGGAAAGTTTTTATATTTTATTTTCACATTCAAAACCTTTGCTTCAGCCTCAAAGAGAGTGTTTATGTAAAATTAAATAAATGCTGACAGTGAGCTGTACTTTTTTTGTCTAATGGGAAAAGATTTAAGAAAGTGTGTATTACATATGCTGTTTAGGGTCCTTTGGCTTTGGTTCTGGGTGCTTTCAGTGGCAAAGTGTTTGTAAAAGTTCCTTGGTTATAAATAGGCTTTGTATAATGGCTTTCTCAGATGCTGGTTGAAATAGTGCTGTGCATGGTACGTGAGCAGGCTCATTTTCTCCTCTGGGGCTAGAGTGTGGAGTTCTCAGAAAGTATATATTGTTCCCCAGTGCTGTGCATTGTGTCAGTAGATTTTCTATTGTGTTATGCATTTCAACCTCCAGGACCACTGGTGGTACTCATAGGTAAGAGCTGGCTAAGGTTAATGCAGATGTGTATATACTTGATCCTTGTTTACTGGTAGAAGCTCTCTGTTACCTCAGGCAATGGGCTGATTAGTGGCATGCACATTTGTCTGAGCTCCCAGATTAGCCCTCAAATGGAGGACCAAGACTGGTGGGGTGATGAGACAGGCCTGCCTACAGGTCTCCTAGTGTCAGGAACAAGCATCAGCTTTGAAAGCAGGTCTAGTGGACCATAGCCAGGCATCTGGAGGTGTGCTAATTCATGTTGTCAGGAAATCCTGGCTGCCCCAAGTTCTCTGCATGGGTGGTGTGGCCTGAACTTCTAATTTAGAATAGTGAGTGCTTCAAGTGCCTGGAGATATTTCTGGCCATCAAGCAGAGAGGCCATGGCTGCACCAATATTTCTTCACCTGAAGGGAAAGGTACTTCAGGATCCTTATCCAGGGAAGCAGGTGTACTAAATGCCTGGAAATATGCCTGAGGAGGTAGCAGAAAAACTGCTGCTGCCAAAAGGTCTTTGCAGGGGATAAGAGGGGCAAGTCAAGCTCCTAATCCCAGAGAGTATGTGCCGCTCAAACTGTGTGTGAGATGACTAGGGAATGAGCACAGAAATCGCCACAACAAGGTCTTTGCATGGGAAGGTAGGGGCTGTTCAAACTCCTAATCATTGAGAATGGGTTTGCAGAATGCCTGCAGTTATGTCTGGGTGTGCAGCAGAGGAAGTGCTACTGCACTAAGGTCTTCGTGTGGGAAGAAGTGGTGACTCAAGCTCCTATTCCAGTGAGTAGGTACACCCAAAGCTTGGTGTTATGTGTGGGTATGGAGCAAACAGTGTGCCTCTGCGCCAAGGTCTCTGCATGGGAAGGGAGGGGAAGCTCAGGCTGCTAATCCATCTGAGTGGGTGCTCCAAATGCTTGGAAAAATGACCAGGAGTGGAGTGGAGGGCACATGTACCACCTTGCCAAGATCTTAGTAAGGAAAGGGTAACTTGGCTCAGGCTCCCAATACAGGTAAGCAGGAGTGTGGTTTGCCTCTCTCCTGTTTCTCAGAACTGGTGGGACACTCTGTCATGACTGAACAAGGGAGCAGGATGGGGCATCCAGCAGTGACACAGGCAGACCAGTTCCAAGTCACAAAGCTGTCCCAGACTGCAAGCTGTGATGCCCAAGAGAAACCTCGATTTCAGCAACTCTCCTCCCACTCCAGTCCAGTGATGGGAGAGAGCTCAATTCCAGCGCTTACTGTTGGGGTGCTCACCACACTCACTGCTCAATTCTGACTGTGGGTGCCCTTTCCCTGCTCCAGAACAAGTGCTTCTGTCTCTGTCCTGAGACTAAAATGCCTACAGTGACTGCTGCTGCCAGGTCACCAATGACTGACTTTCCAGGAGCGCAGATTAAAAATGGCAACGTCTTCTCAGTTCTGGGTCTGGGAAACACATGCAGATTTTCCTAGTGTCTTTCCCTTTCATCACTTTCCAGCCTCCCTCCAAGTAAGTTCCAGCATTTGGGGCCTGGATCTCTACTGGAAAGGAGATTCAGAGAGGGAGACTCTCTGGCCCTCTCACAAACTGGGGGCTTCACCTGTTTTGATAAGCTGAACACCATCATTGGGCCTGCATTCCCACCTCCTTCACTTGGGATCTGAAGTGTGTTTCACTATTTCAGCGAATTCCCACATTTTTTCTTGAATTAAAGCTCACAGAATTGATCTTTACACACTATTTTGCTATTTCCAAGTGGCTGAGGCATGTTAAAGCTTCTAATCTACCATCTTGGCAAAAAAAACCACACACTTTTTTTTAAAAAAAGAAACAAAATGATAGTTTTATTTATTTGTCAATTTATATCAATAGAATCATCCCATAGTACTTATTTACTGTCAAGTACTTTCATTTAATGTATTGTGACATTCAATCAAGTTGTTGCAGACAGCAATAATTGTTATCTGTTTCTTAGTGTTTCACTTTATGAGCATTTTACAATTGTTTTATGATACTGCTTCAAACATTTGCATTGCTTCCAGTGTGAGGCTATTTTGAATAGTGCTGTTATGTACATTCCGATACGTTTTTTTGCTATCACAAGGTATTGCTGCATTTCTGTTCAGTACATACCTACAACTGCAATTGCTAGATATGCATGTATTTACTTTAAGTAAATTCCACCAAAGGATTATCCAAATGGTTGAATTATTTTATTATTGTTTCTATGAGACTGTGATTGTTTCACTTTCTTGTCAACAGACAACATGATCTGTCCTTTTTTCATTTGAACCATTCTGATGAATTATATAATAATATCTAATTGAAGTTTTAATTTGTATTTCCATGAAGCTTAATGATGTTGAGCAATTCAAGTTGCATTGTCAGCAGTGATTCTTCATTTGTGAAAGCCTAGTTTATTTTGCATATATAAGCACACAGTTGGCTTTATTTGTTTTTAAAACAATCACAGGTATATAGAAGAACTGCTTGTTCTTATAAATAATTGTTTTACATGGAACCTTTTGAAAGTAAATACTGACCTGATTCCAGATAGTTGAAGTATTTTCGTATGTATTTACTCAAAACAATGTGCTTCTCTTATATAACTATAGTAAAACCATCAGGATCAGAAAATCAATATTAATGCATTGGAACTTTCTAATTCTTGTTCCTGTTGGTGTTTTACCAAAAGTCCTAAAATATATGCTTTTTGTCCCTCTTATAATTTAGTTCAGAATCCAGAATCTCATGCCACAACTAGCTGTCACATCTCTTTCATCTACTTCAGTGTGGAGCAGTTCTTCAGTCATTACTTGACTTCCAAGACATTGCCACTCTTTGAGAGTATAGGCTGAATATTTATAAAATGTCCCTCAATTTAGGCCTGTCTAATGTTTTTTAATGATTAAATTGAGCAGATGAATCTCTGCCAGGAATATCAGAGGATACTTTTCATTTTGGAGTGATAGACAATTTCAATGTGTTTCATTAGAATGATGTCATTTGATTACTAGGTTCAGATAGTGTGTGGCTGTCTTCTCTATTGTAACTATGTTCTTCTCAACTATGTAACTTAGATGTATTCTGTGGGTAGATTCTTTGAAATTTTGTAATTATTGTAAACTAAAAATAAATCCCAAGCCTGCTTGGACAAGGGAACCCCAGCAAAACCTTAAAAACTGTATTCCCGGCCATGAGAGGATGGGAGATCAGACATGTCTCTTTAGACCCCCTCCCTTTTGTGGTTGACACAAAACAACTCATCAACATTAGTGTTAAAATAGAGACCATGAGACTGATGGGGTGGACTCTTTGTGGCAATAAGATACCAACTTATAAATAGGACCTAAGGTCATGGCAGGCAAGAGTTAGGTCATTCACCACCACACTTAAAGAATAAACTGTGTTCTAACTGGCTCAAGATTTTAATTTTTCTCTAGCAACTATACAACCACTGGCCTCCATCAGATGTCCACCTCTACCCACGGTTCCACAAGCCATAGCTACAACTTTCATGGGACAAGAGACAGATTTCAGTAACCTTATTCCGATAAGAGGACCACTGAACCTGCTGTAGTGGTTCTGACTGTTTACAGAGGCTTTGTGCTTGAGTGCCCTCATGTCCCTGCTCAATTTTTTCACCTATGGGGTTAAAGATGAGTGGGTCAGTGAAGAAATGGAGATTAAGTGTCTAAATTCATGCCTCTGTTTTGGTATCATTGTGAACACTGAATAAAAATTTGAATATTTTTTCGCTTTATGTTTTCAACTTAGAGTCAAGTATGAATATATACTAATCATATTGCTAATCATATGTTCTGAGTTTTATTCTTCTCTCTCCAAACAAGAAGAAAATCCTTGGAAAGTCTCAACAGATTACATTATTTTTCTAATTTCTATTTCTTGTTTTACACTTAACATAAATGCACCGGTAAATTGATTCTGTGGCCCTGAAGTAATTAGCCTCATTTTATCTGCAAATAATACACAACTGAACTGATTCTCTCAATATTTCCCTGAAGGTTGTTTCTTCCCTTAGACAGACTTTTTCTGTTATAAAGCCAAACCTTCAGTAACTCTAGATGGCAAACATCCAGAGACCTTCCTCGCCCTCTTCTCCTTTGTCACTCTCTCTGTTTATTATTATGAGGACAAGCCTGGCCTCCTGGCACTCTCTTTTCTTTTATTTCTTGCATTATGCACAAAAGAGGGAAAGTCTGAGAACTGAACCAGCAATTAATAACACTTTTTATTTAGCACATTCACAAAAGAAATGGATCTAAATTATCATTCATTAATCACTTTTCTGTGTTTTACAGTGATAACATATTAAAAAGTCAGCATCAGAAAAGTATTAGCATATGTGACAGTCAATACAAGTGTTACGAGTATGAATAATTACAGATATATTTGTGCAGCGACCTGAACAACTCTCCTTAATGGAGGTTGGATGCTCACGGGATATTGAGTGCATGGGAAGATGTGATGAGAGGTCAGAGAAGACATAACAGTGGGAATGTCGTTGATAAAAAAGAGTTTCAGGTGATAGCAGATCGGCAGCCAGATGGGCTAGCATTCTTCAGACAGGAATGAAGCAGATCTGGTACGAGGGTGGCAGAGAAATAATCCCTCTGGTAGCTGAAGTAGTATTGAGGTTCTTTAAATCAGCAACAGATTTCAGGTTAAAGTTCTGTAAAATTGTGGTTAGAAATAAAAATAGCTCCATGCGGGCAAGTCCCTCTCCTGCACAAATTCGTTTTCCTGAAGATAACAAAGAGAGAAAGTAGTTACTCCTTGTGTTTAACTGTGACTGTGACAGTATGTTTGTGACTTGCACAAACAGAATACACAGTAAATAATTGATTAATGATAGGGTAGATGAATGAACATGTGGATGAATGGATGGATGAAATGATGAATGAATTAATGGATGGTAGGACAAACAAATGTACAAAAAGAGACACATTTGCTATCTGTCTAACATCTAATCTCAATAGGCACCCTTCATTCAGCAAATATTCATTGATTATCAGTGCCGTAATAGTCGCTTCATTATTTATTTCCACATTAAAGCAACTCTGTTGCCATTTTGAGTTTCCATCTGTCATTATAGAAATACATGCACATTCTTGTTTCCTGTTCCAAGCCTGATATTCCATGATCTTTCCTTCCACTTTTCACATAATCTGTTCGCAACTCTAGTCATACACACTCTTCATCCATCTTGAACACACCAAGAAGTTTCAAGTTTCATATCCTGTTGTTCGTTTTGGCTAAGATACATCTTTATTAGGCTACATTCAGGACATAGGTTCAATTTCATTTCATCTTCACACTCTTTACAATTCCCTCAAGTAATAAAATCCTATGCTCTCTCGTTTTCCTCAACATCATACTCATGTTTTCATTAAAACATGGATCACCAGGAATCATAATTCTGTATTTATTTATCTATTGTGCTAAAATGTGAATTATTGAAGGAAGGTCTCTGTCTTTGTCATCTTGGTATCTACAGTGCCAAATATAAAGCAGACGTAAAAGATCAAAGAGTGAAGGAAGGAGATTCCATGGCCAGAGACTTAGCACACAAAGCACAGGTGTGAAAATCAAGTATCCAGGATATATGATCATGATTGGAGGAAGACAGGGTGCTATGGAATCACTGCAACGTAACCTCCTCCCTTGCCAATGTTTCTGGAACCCCATAATTTTTTGGAAAAGGTTCTGACATCCTTGATCTAAAGCAAATGTCCTGCTCTGTCATTCATTATCTCCCTCAAAATGCCCAGCCTTCCCTTAAATTTTATCACCTCCTTTGAAGCACCTCAAACGTCCTCTGAGTTTCTTACCCCATTTTATGCCTCACTGTGTTGTATGAGAGAGCAGGAAGCATGCAGATTCCCCCTCTAGCCCCTACAGGGGCCTGTGCATTCCTGTCTCACTGTCCTGGTCTGACTAAATTACAACAACCTGTTTACTCTTCTTCCCTAACTCAGGAGTGAGCCTCTGTTCTCATTGAAAGTTGTGCCCTTGGAACTCAGCCTGGGAGGTGAAAGACACCATGTAGAAGACACTCAATGCAGTTGTGGACTCAGATACATTCACCAAGGCAGGTAAGGACAGATCAGATGAATTTTACTTTCCAGGAGGAGCTCTTGGGTGCCTTAGTGATGTATCTAGTGGCAGAGTTCAGTCAACCTAGATGTTAGTTTTCTCAATTGGGAACAATAGGGTTAACTCCTGGAAGCCCCACTATCTGGCCCAACAATGAGGGTATATTGTGAGGGTGGAGCACATGGGTATTAAGAGTGGTGCTCTTGATCATGGACAAATAGCAATTCTACCAGCCCCAGAGGGGGTGCCATGTAAATTCCAACTGATTCCAAAAAGTTCTCTCTTTCCTTCAAATGCAAATGGAAACGAGATTCTATTACCTGCTGAGAAAGGCATGAAGTAGTCACTTTTCTTAAAGTTGCCATTCTCATCCAGAAAGTGGCCAGGGTCAAAGATCTTTGGATTAGGGAATTCTTTGTCATCGTGCAGCACGGAAGTGAGTAATGTTATTATGATTGTGCCCTGGAAGTAAAAAAACAGATAATCTGATTTATAAAGAAGTCCAGAAGTGAGAAGAAGTAGTGGACATCACGTAGCCCCATATCATTGATCTATAGGTGAGGGGACTAATGTCCAGCCAGACACAGTAATTTACATGGATGAGCTAAACGCCAGTGGTGGAAGCTTGCTAAAGAGCTTTCCAATCACATTTGAAGTCTTACATTTTGGATACTTGTGTGCAACCCTCTGAATGTGTTCTCTAGATCATCAAGTTTCGATGCCCTTGTCTGTCCCCATCACTTCAAATTTCACAAATCTTGTATTTAGATTATGTAGATTACAGTTTAAAATGGAAGTCTCTGTTGACACTTGAAATGTCCAGAGTATCTGTTCATAGAACTTTTGTAAATAAACATGTAATCTATTTTAATATGATGTCATCTGGGATGCTAACCACAAGTGCAATAACCAGTAAAAACTATTGAGTGTTTATTATTGCCATGCTACAGATTAATTTTAGCTTAAAACACTGAAAAGATGATGAAATTAGAAAGATTATCACTTTGCTACAATTCAAGTCAGGATCATCAGGTTAGGTAAGGATCATCAATTAAAGCTAGAACCATTGGGTGTGTGATTCTGGAAGCAGGAGTTTCACATAGTCTTAATGTACTCCCATAGACTTTTACTAGTTGTGTATAAAAAGCAGAACCCCTACAATGGTAAGATCTGGAGGATACCACCATATTATATGAGGAACTTAGCGTGACCGATAATGACATATGTGACATTTTATGCTCCCACCTCATCAATGTGATTCAGTGGGATATTCAGTGGGATTCAGCACCTATGTAGTTTTCTTGCCAAAATTGTAGCTGGAATCTGCCTCTAGAAAACAGTCACACAAAACTAGCCTGAGGAACATTTTAAATGACTGCTGATCTCAAATGGTCAACTGATTAAAAAGAAACAAACAAGGAAAGGAACTTTCCTTGATTATAGGAAGTGAAAAGGTCAACATAAGTGAATTATATGCTTGTTCCTTGCCTGGATAGTAAACTGCAGAAGAAAAAAGTCATAAAAATATTCTAGAAAAATTGAAAAAATTTAAATTTAGGCTGTATTATTATTTGAACAATAGCTGCTGAGCGTGAATACTCTATTATGATGTATAAGAAAAATCTTTGTTTTGGGGCATACATACTGCAGTATTGAGGTGTAAATAAATCTTGTATTGAGAAAGAAAAACCTCTTCTGGTTGTGTGCTTTGGTAAAAACAGTGTGGATTGAAGTCCTAATCCTTGTAAAAAATCAGTGATAATTAGGGAAAACCCTATCGCATCTTGATAAATTATGAATTCTGTCTTCTCTGGAGGATAACATTAGTAATTGAAATCTTATCAGTCTCATTGTTTTCCTTCACGAAAATATAACTTTTATTACTTTTAATTGAATAATAATAAGTGGAATTGTGTAGTTTATAGCATAGCAACTAAAACATCTGGATGAATACAGAAACCATATGATAGACAGCATTGTAAAGCTGCAAAGACCAAAACTGGCCTCAGATTACAAAGACAATAATTGGCTCCAGTGACAGGAGAACTTCAGAGGGGTGAGCTCATACCTACAGTCAATTTTTGACTGTGTTCATGTAATATTCAATTCTGAATCGGGACAGGAGGTGTTGTCATTATAACTGCCTATGAGAAGTGAATGAATCCATTCTGGAAAAAGATAAACACTCTCTGAAATTCTGCATTTTTTCATATATAATATCTGTACTGAGCCATAGGGTTTCAGGCATTTGAAAGATACAACTAAGCAGTCATAAGAAGAAAAGTGGAAAGAAGGGAAAGCAATGAAAACAGACCCACATTAGGGACCATTTCTCAACTAGTTTTATGCAGCCAGCATTATCTTGTTATCAAAACTCTGAAAAGAAAATGTTGAGGAAGAAAAATTGCAGACCAAAATATCTTATGAATATAAATACAGAAGTCCTGAACAGTAAGTAACAGAGCAAATCCAGCTGTTTGTGTATATTTTGTATATTTAGTGAGGGATGTGAGGCCAGTATATACAATCATATAAATAGATGCAGAGAATCAATTTGATAAAATTGCACACACATTCATGACAAAAATTTATATAAAAATAAGAGAAGAGGAAAAACTTCCCTAATCTGATAAAGAATATCTACTAAAATCTTAAAGATTTCTGATAAAGAATATCTGCTAAAATACTTAAAGCATCATTCTCAGTAGTGAAATATTAATATTCTTGTAGTCTACCCCCCAGCAGATCAGAAATGAAATAAGGATGCCCTCTATCACCAATTCTATTCAATGCTATCCTGGAAATCCTAGCCAGTGCAGTAATGCAATAAAGACAAATTGAAGACAAAATCATTGGAAAATAAGAAATAAAATGCATATTAACCTAGATAGCAAAATAATGTACATAGAAATTCCAAATATATCTATAGATAAATTATTAGCAATGATCAGTAAATTTAGGAAAGTTATTAGATATAAGGTCATCAAAATAGTATAATTGAATACAATTACATATACCAATTACAAAGAAATAAAAAAAGCATTAAAAGTTTGTAACAACAAATTATTAATTATCTAGGAAAAACCTGATAAAAGAGTTGTAAGTCACTGCACTGAAAATAAAACATTACTGAGAAAATAGAATAAAACTCAATAAGTTGGGAGCACAACCATATTCATGAATTTAAAAATTCAATGCATGAAGCTTGCTCTGCTTGGCTCCCTGCCTCCGCACCACAGCCCCTGCGGTAGCCGCCTCGGAGCCCGCCGCTACTGCCTCTGAGCAGAAGATGGCTGTGCCACCCATGTATGCTGATCTTGGCAAATCTGCCAGGGATGTCTTCACCAAGGGCTATGGATTTGGCGTAATAAAGCTTGATTTGAAAACGAAATCTGAGAATGGACTGGAATTTACAAGCTCCGGCTCAGCCAACACTGAGACCACCAAAGTGACCGGCAGCCTGGAAACCAAGTACAGATGGACTGAGTGCGGCCTTACGTTTACAAAGAAATGGAACACCAACAATACACTAGGCACCGAGATTACTGTGGAAGATCAGCTTGCACGTGAACTGAAGCTGACCTTCGATTCATACTTCTTACCTAACACTGGGAAGAAAAATGCTAAAATCAAGACAGGGTACAAGCGGGAGCACATTAACCTGAGCTGCGACATGGATTTCGACATTACTGGGCCTTCCATCCGGGGTGCTCTGGTGCTGGGTTAGGAGGACTGGCTGGCCGGCTACCAGATGAATTTTGAGACTGCAACATCCCGAGTAACCCAGAGCAACTCTGCAGTTCCTACAAGACTGCTAATTCCAGCTTCACACTAATGTGAATGACAGGACAGAGTTTGGCGGCTCCATTTACCAGAAAGTGAACAAGAAGTTGGAGACCGCTGTCAATCTCGCCTGGACAGCAGGAAACAGTAACAGGCGCTTCGGAATAGCAGCCAATTATCAGATTGACCCTGACCCCTGCTTCTCGGCTAAAGTGAACAACTCCAGCCTGATAGGTTTAGGATACACTCAGACTCTAAAGCCAGGTATCAAACTGACACCGTCAGCTCTTCTGGATGGCAAGAATGTCAATGCTGGTGGTCACAAGCTTGATCTAGGACTGGAATTTCAAGCATAAATGAATACTGTACAATTGTTTAATTTTAAACTATTTTGCAGCATAGCTACCTTCAGAATTTAGTATATCTTTTAATGTTGTATGTCTGGGATGCAAGTATTGCTAAATATGTTAGCCCTCCAGATTAAAGATGATTCAGCTTTAAGATGTTACCTTTCCAGAGGGACAGATAAAATCCATTTCCAAAAAAGGTCCTTTCAGTGGTAGACTTGAGGGGGAACTTGGTGGCCCCTTTGAGATGCCAGGTTTCTTTTTTATCTAGAAATGGCTGCAAGTGGAAGCTGATAATATGTAGGCACTTTGTAAATTCATATTGAGTAAATGAATGAAATTGTGCTTTCCTGAGAATAGAACCTTGGTTTCCTAACCCTGATTGATGAGAGGCTCGCTGCTTGATGGTGTGTAGAAACTCACCTGAATGGGACTTTTTTAGACAGATCTTCATGACCTGTTCCCACCCCAGTTCATCATTACCTCTTTTACACCAAAAGGTCTGCAGGGTGTGGTCACTGTTTCTTTTGTACCATTTTGGAGTGGAGAAGGTGGATGTGATGAAGCCAACAATTCAGGACTTAGTCCTTCCTGTGTTGTTGTTGTTGTTGTTGTTGTTGTTTTTTGCCCTTGCACCAGAGTATGAAATAGCTTCCAGGAGCTCCAGCTATGAGCTTGGAAGTGTCTGTGTGATTGAATCACATGGTGACAACACTCAGAATCTAAATTGGACTTCTGTTGTATTCTCACCACTCAATTTGTTTTTTAGCAGTTTAATGGGTACATTTTAGAGTCTTCCATTATGTGTGAAATTTGATCCTCCAAATGCTGTAATTAATGTCACTTAAAAAAAACTTGAATAAAATATTGAAACCTAAAAAAAAAAATTCAATGCATGAACATGTTAAGTCTTTCCATATTGAACTACACAATGAATATCAATTTGATAAAAATTTCAGAAGTGTTTTGGGAAATTGACACACTGATATTTTCAACAATTATTTGAAAGTGTAAACACCTAAGAGTAGCCTATTAAGGAGACCTAGCTTTATAAATCTTTATAGCCCCAAACAAAATAGCAGAAAGTCCATCAAGCTGCCACATGTATGAGTTTTGCACTTCTCTCATCGTCTGTTGTTAGGGGATTGGAGCTAAACTAGCACTTTGGAAATTTTAGAAGCACAGAAATATAGTGTAAGAGAAGCAAGCTTACCTTGGGGATGAGGTAGTTTCTGAACTTAATATCAGTGGTCACTGCGTGGGGTACGCCAGTGGGGACAAGGTCAATGTATCTCTGGATCTCGTGTATTACAGCATCTGTGTAAGGCATGTGGCTCCTATCCTGCATGCAGGGGCTCCTGTGTCTGCCAATTACATGATCAATTTCTTCCTGGACTTTAGCTGACAAGACACAAGAAAGAACTGATGGAACATTTGTCATAGCAATTCATGGCCACATTAAACATGATGTAAAAATCCCAGCAACATTACAAACATGAGTTACATGTGCAGAAGTACAACCAGCCATATAAAAAGAATTACCATAATATAGATACATATCATTCTCCTACAAACTAGTCATTACAGTGCATAAGTACATTTCTATAAATTAGCATATATGACAACTAATACAAATTTAAGTAATACGTTATTTAAAAAATAAACAGAAGTCAAGAAATTACAGTGCTTGCAAACAGAAAAACAGGAATCAAATATTATATGTATTACCAAATAATATATGGGGTATAATGTTAAATTGCAATGGTTTTGTAAATATATTTGCATGTGCGGTGGCGGGGCAGGGGCGGTGATGCAATTAGCACTGGTACTGTCTTCATTTTTCCACTTCCCATTGTGGCCACTTTAAGCATGCTAGCAGCTTCTTCTGAAATTTATATTTACATTTCTAAATATCCACTATTTCTTTCTATGTTTTACTAAACAATTTTTAGACAATATTTAATAATTTTCTGGTATGCGAGATGAGAATTTTTATCTCTATCTCTGTTCCATATACAGACGCATGCCCACAAAGTGATATTTGTACACACAGACACACACACATGCACGTATACACACACACACAATTCTCCTCCTTCTACTTACCAGAATATATTTAGACCACAATTTCTGGTTATATCACTATTCATTGTTTATATCATTCTAAATATACTCACACAAGCACACACACACACACACACACATATTCTTCCTTGGTTCTTTAGTTAAATCACAATTTTCTATTCTTCAAGTTAGAGTATTTGCACATGTTTGAAACTCCTAGTAATAATTTCCCAATTATAGGGAAATCTCAGACTATCAATCACATCTCTTTGGTTCTTGAAGTCTCCTCTACATGTATTATTCACCTGGTCCCTTCTGAAGTGGTTGTTTCCTAGGAGCCCAGCAGCATCTCTGACACTCTCATTCTCTTACATGGGGTCTTCTGATTCCTGGCACCCTTAATTTCTTCTGACTTGGTTTCAGACATGAGATGGAGCACAATCCCCAGTATTGGAGAAAGTTAGTATAGAGGGTGAAATTTGTAACAAGCATGTAGGTCCCAAATACTTTTTTCTATGAATACACAACATAGTATGATTGGGAATTCTGATGCTGTCTGAATGCTTATATTTTATATATGACTTGATATAACTGTCTGAAAGATTTTAATTTTCCCTTTACTTCTGGTGCTCTGAAATTCCATGACTTTGTGTCCTGTGATGGATGTTTTAATTTCATTCACTCTGCTGAACACTTGTAGATAACTTTCTATTAAGATGGCAAAATACGAAGGTCTTTTCTCTAGACATGTTTCTTCTCTGGAGAATATCTAGCTGCTGAATGTCAGGAAGCAAGATGAAGAAAAGTGCTGAGTCTTTGAATCTGAGGAATAGATATTTCCCAAAGCTTTTTTTTCTGGCTTCACACCTCACACTTTCCTGGCCCTGTAAAGTGTCCCCGAGTACAGGGCTTCTTAGGCTTAGTTTCTCTGGAGAGTGTGCTTCCCTTTTCCAGTGGGAAAAAATCAGGTACCTGATAAAAGGAGTCATGGAGGAAACCTGGGCAGGGGAGGCTCCCTTTTCAGTCTCATTCCCTACCTTCTTTGGTCCTTGGTGCCTCCAAATACTGACCCTTATGAGAATCATAGTGACACAGATTTGCCTCTCCTCTTGATAAATCTTCCTCTGCTGATATTTGTTACAACTCCATCCCCTATGCTGTTTCAATTGTCAGCCCTCCATTGTCTCTCCGTGTCTCAGAAATTTGCCAAAGACTTATAGGCTGTTTTCTATTCTCCTCTCTTTTTACTTCAACAGGCTAATTTTAATTTGTAATTTAGTTATTGAAATTTCAGTGGGATCCTGACACAGGGAAGAAGGTATGTTATCTGCTGCCAAACAAGAACTATTTAAATGTAAATTTGAAGGAAATGTAGAGTTTACTCTAAAAGTAAATTGTAAATTCTAAAGAAAAGTTGTATGTGAAAGATGCAATTATTAACCCCCTTCCAAATATTCCTATTTAGTCAAAGAGCAGTTTTATGAAACACACTTCTGGAATAAAAAAATTCCTTTAGGTATGGTCTCTGCTTAAACAGAAACATCTTTTTTAGAAGCCTAACTTTTAGATTACTTCCCATACTGGAATTAATCACAGGATGCCTCAGTACAATTCTAGAATTCCACTTATACTTCAATAAGGATGTTTTCATCTCACTACCTCGGCATTAGAGCATGGAATTTTCAAAATGAGAAAAGATATCTTCAAGAATGAACCTACTGTTCAAAGTGGACTTTTCATAATAAAACCAACATTCACTACTAGGCCAATTTATGCTGGCTCTCCCTACCACAAATTATCTCTGCTGAAATCCAGACACTTCATCAGGGCTTTATTTATTTTGCTACTGCCATACTGTTTTTACTGATCTCAGCCATCCTCCTCCATTGTGCAAAGATGTCCTTTTTAATCATGTCATCAAATTTAGACAGATTACAGCTGATGACACAGAAATTTAAGGAATGAAGCTTCTCTGAGAGAAATAAGGTGGAGGACACTGGCACCATCTTCTCAGCATTGTTCTTAAATTCACTTTGTTCATCATCTGTGGTCCTACCTGTGACCTCTGGGTGCTTCAGCAGGAGCAGGAGTCCATATCTCAGAGTGGTGCTTGTTGTCTCTGTTCCAGCAACAAATAGATCAGCTACAGTGCCAACCAAGTTTTCAATAGTGAATTCTGACTGTTGGTTGTCCTTTTCCTAGAAATGATTTCATGCAATTATCTGACCAATTATGTGTCAGTATATCTAAATATACAAAATTTTAAAAAAAATACTATGTTATAAAGTTAGCCAAAAGAGATACTGGACAGTACAGTATTAGAAAAAGCAACTGTGTGGTATGGCAGAAGCTGCAGATCAGTTGACTCAAACTTTATTTCCTGATAGGCCTACAAGTTCCATTCATGAAACCATTTGCTGCTTAGGTTAGTCACACAGAATATTTCTTTCCTCAGAAATAAAAGCAGAAGTATACAGATGTCCTGTATTAGTTCAATTTGTGTTATATAACAGAATACTATATACTTGGTAATTTGTAAAGAAAAGAAATTTATTTCTGATGATTCTGAAGGCTGGGAAGTCCAAGAGCATGGCACTTGCTTCTGGCAATGGCCTTCTTGCTACTTCATCATGTGGCAAAAAGTGGAAGGGCAAGAAAGAGTAAGAGTGAGAGCAAGGGTGGGGGCACAATCACATTTATAACAAGCTGTCAAGAACTACCCCACTCTTGCAATAATGACATGAGTATATTTATGAAGGCAGAACACTGATGACGTAGTCATGTTTTGTTAGGCTGCACCCACCAACTCTGTTGCATTGGGCATTCACTTTTAACACATGAACTATAGAGGACACATTCAAACCAGAACATGAATCTTCTTCTATTTTTTCCTTATTACTCAAAACACAAATGTGAAGGAGGAATAGGATTGACATCATCTTTGGACATGAGCATTTGATCATAGTAATGAAGACTTCTATACTAAATATGGTATATAAAAAAAAAAAAAAGAAGGCACTTGACTCTCTCATGCTTAAGGGCTACCATGTTATTTCTAGTCTAGCCCACCATAAGGCTTCTTGTATTTGAGATATATAAGCCAACTATTTGATTATGCTCTTGATATAGTTTGGATAATAAATATTTATCTCTCCCATCCTGATAATAAATGAGTTCACATAAGATCTGGTTGTTTAAAACTATTTCTCCAACTTGTTTCTCCTCTTGCCATGTGATGTGCCTGTTCTTGCTTTGCCTTCTGCTATGAGCAAATACTCCCTGAGGACTCTGCAGAAGCTGAGCAGATGCCAGCATCATGCTCGTACAGCCTGCAGAACTGTTAGTCAATTGGGCCTCATTTTCTTATAAATTATCTGGCCTCAGATATTTCTTTGTAGCAATTCAAGAACAGCCTAACACATTCATTTTTATGATTTTTTATTATTTGTAAGTGAACACGATTTTAGTGTATAAATATAAGTAAATTAGGGCTATATCATGAAAAATGTTACACTCTTGAATCAAGAGTTTGCAATTTTCTTCTGTCAAAAATTTACAAAGACTCAGTTACACCTACATATTCATTACAAAGCTGAAATGTGTGAAACAAATATGTCAACAAAACCAAGAATGAAATATAGTGAAAGATAATGAGTTCACAAAGACAAGACAGGTCTAACAAAATTGTAATCTAGATGGGAGGCAACAGGCAACTTGTTCTAAGGAATAAGTTCAGGAATAAATAGGAAAATACAAAGTGAAGAGAAATGGCAATTATTAATACAAAAACGTGAGGCATTAACTGCCTATATTGGATAAAGAAGAGTAGGGGTAATGCAAATGCCAAGGCTAAGGGACCAATTGAATAAAGTTCTCATAAATTGAAAGTGTGAATACACCTACAATGAGTAAAGTATTTGAATTAGTAATCAAGAACTCCACCCCACCCTCCCCACAAAAAAAAGTTCCAACTCAAGATTACTTCACTAGTGAATTCTACCAAAATAGTTGGAAAGAGCTCAGATCCAAGGGAAAAGGAAAGGGAACTTGTGTGAACAAGGTAATGTTCTTGAGAAGTCTCAAAACCACAGCCCACTCCAGTACTTGTGCTCATGAAGATAAAGAAGGTCACCTTGACTTCAGATCCCAGCAGACTGCCAAATTGGGTAGGGAGGCTGAGAACACTCCTACCTGCCCTTTCCATGGATTACTAAGTCTCTCAGGATTTCACCTCTGCCAGCTTCTTTTTACTTTATTTGTGTGTGTGTGTGCATGTGTGTATGTGTACATGTTTGTGAGTTGTAGATTCTTCTTATGAATTGACCAATAAGCTCCATTGCTGTCTCTTTAACAGTCCATTTGGTGTATGATTATTCACCTGTAATATTGGCTCTTCCTTCTGAGAATAATTGATGATTGACATCTTTGTCAGCCAACTGGAAATCTCTGATGCTTCAGGCTATGGAAAGGTCGGAGAGATATACAGTGCTTGGGTTCCACTCTTTGCTACAAAGGAGGGCAATATTGAGTGGGGGCTTAACTGGGCCTAACTGTGCTTGGTCTCCCAGGAGCAGGTGTAAGCACCACCTCTGATGAGGGTGGCAAGAGAGTGACATAGACTCTGTAAGATTTACTCAGTTATAAATAGGCTTAGTGTGGTGATTTTCTCAAATGCCAGCTGTACTAGCAATGTTCTGGGTTTGTGAACACACTGAAGATATTCTAATTAGCTGGGGTGATGTGGGTATAGTGTTAGCTGAGATAAGACAAAAGTTTTCTTCTTCCCAAATGTTGTGTTATTTTGCCAGCAGATGTTGTAATAGGCTGTGCCTATTGGCTTCCAGCTAGGAGGTGGTTCTTGCAGGAGAGAGCCACCTACACTAGTAGCTGTGGGATTTGTGCTTGGCTTATATTACCCAGGGGAACATGTAGAAGAATGAAATATGATTCCTATATCTCACCATATACAAAAATTAACTCAAGATGGACTAAAGACTTAGATATGAGAATGAGACTTGAAATCATAAAAATTTTAGACAAAAACCTAGAAAAAACTCTTCTGAGCATTGGTGTAGGCTAAGGATTTATGACTCAGTGTTTAAAAGCAATTTCAACAAAAATAATTGACAATAGGACCTAATTAAACTAAAGAGCTTCTGCACAGCAAAAGAAATGACAAGCAGAGTAAACAACCTACAGAATGGGAGAAAATATTTGCAAAATATACCTTCAACAAAGGACTATTTTCCAGAATCTACAAGAAACTCAAACAGCAAGAAAAAAAAATCCAAATAATCCTATTAAAAAGTGGGCAAACAACATGAACAGAAATTTCTCAAAGGAAGATATACAAATGAGAGAGTGGAGCAAGATGACAGAATAGAATGCTTCACTGATTATTCCCCATGCAAGGACATCAGCTTAACAGCTATCTACACAAAGTGTACCTTCATAAGAACCAAAATCAGATGAGCATGCACAGTACCTAGATTTAAATGTATGTCACTGAAAGAGGAACAGAAGAGATAGAAAAAATACTATTGAATTACTGACATCCTCTCTTCCCCTGGCAGCAGTGGCATGGTTCAGAGAGTGTTTCTGAGTACTGAAGGAGGGAGAACACAGTAATTATACAGCATAAAATTAATGCTGTTCTGTTATGGCAGAAGGGAAAACAGGCCAAATTCAGCTGATGCCCACTCACAGAGGGAGCATTTAAACCAGCCCTGGCCTGAGATGAATCTCTGATACCAGTGGTTGGAACCAAGTTTCTACAAGCCTCATCACTGTGGACTATAGGGCTCTGGGACTATAAATAAACTTTGAAAGACAGACTTGGCTACAAGGATTGTAACTTTTATGTGAGTCCTAGTTCTGAACTGGGCCTAGAGACAATAGAGCGGTGGCGGGAGGTGCAACTTACTGAAACACCAGCTGAAGATGGGTAAGGGAGTGCTGACATCCCCCCTCTCCTAATCCCAAGCTGCACAGTTTTCACTTCCAAAAGAAACTCCTTTCTTCTGCTTGAGGAGTGGGGGCTTGAATAGCTAGCAGCAATACCCAGGTACTACGTTGAGGGCTTTGGGTAAGACTTTGAGACTTGCTGGCTTAGGTAAGACTCAACACATTCCCAGCTAGCTGGCCATCAGGAAAGACTCCTTCTACTTGAGAAATCAGAGTAAAATATAAAGGCGACTTTGTCTTGCAACTAGGTATCAGCTTGATCACAGGAGGGTAGAGCACCAAGTGCACTCCTGGAGTCTCCAAAACCAGGACTTGGCTCTTGTGCAGGGTCTAGTATTCTCAATAGGCCTTTGATAGCACTGCTCAAGGGGTGAGACTTCACTGCCCTTGGAAAGGAAAGGGAAGAGTGAGAAGGACTGCATTTTGTGGTTTAAGTGCCAGATCAGCTGCAGTACAACATAACACCAAATAGATTTCTAAGGTTTTTGACTCTCCCCTGGCTTCTAGGTGGTACCTCTGGACATGCCTGGGTACTGGAAGAATTTGCTGCACTGAAGGGAAGGACACAGGCCTGGCTGGATTCACCACCAGCTGATTGTAGAGCCCCAGATGCTTGGAAACATAGGCAGTAGCCAGGGAGTGGTTGCAGCAGGCTTTGGGCAAGGCCCAGTGTTCTGCTGGTTTTAAGTCTGACCCAGCGCAGTCACAGTGGTGGCGGATACATGAGTGCTTGTGTCATTCTATCCCCAGTTTCAGTTGGCTCAGAACAGAGAGAGAGACTTTGTTTATTTGGGAGAAGCTAAGGGAAGAGAACAAGAGTTTCTTTCTGGTAATCCACAGAATTCTCTTGGATCCTGTCCAAGACCATCAAGGCAGTATCTCTACAAGTCTTCAAGAACCACTGCATTATTGGGCTTGGAGTGCCCCTAAAGCAGATAAAGCTTAGATCACAACACTTAACTCATTTCCCATTTATTAAAAAAAGTGCAGTTCACTGCCAGTGCAGTATTCTAGGGGCAAATTGAAAATAGGTTAAGTCCTTTTTAATATCTAGAAAGCCTACCAAGAAGGATGGGTACAAAAAAAATCCCAGACTACAAAGATGACAAAAATACCTAACTCTAGAATGCCCAGCCCCAGATGAACATCTACAAGTATAAAGAAAATCCAGGAAAACATGACTTCACCACATTCACTAAATAAGGCACCAGGGACCAATCCTGGAGAAACAGAG